TGCCTTCATGTCAGAAACACCAAATAAATGTTTCAGCCCTCTGTCAGGGCAGGGCAAAACTGCAGGTAAAATATCAGGAACCTGACATAGGTCTGTGGACAACAAGAAAAAAAAGAGATCAGAAGAAAAAAAAACTTTGATTCATATTTTTGGCATTTAGGCTAGATGGTCATTGTAGGTCTCTTCCAAATGAAATTTTTCTATTCTCTTCTATCCTACTCTATTTAATATTAGTGTAGGCAGCGAGAACGTAAAGCAATACAAGTTAAGAATGATTTGGAAGGAGCTTGCTCTACTGAAAAAGTTGCTTTTTAGGACCTCAATCCAGGCAGGGCAACAATTCCCCTGAGCTCCAAACCCCCATCTTCCAGCTGCTATGTTATTTCTTTCCAGCCCTTTCACTGTGGGACTGAGCAGCTAAGCATGGGGATGCTGTTGAATAAAAATGAATTTTCTATTTGCCCAAACCAAAGAAAAAAAATGGCCAGCTGGAGGTTAGAAGAGCAAATAATGGCTCGTGGTGTAACCAAAGAAGAATGTGGTGGAGTTCTATGTACACATTTCTCACATAATCGGCAGTGATTATACCAAATAGAAATGGCAATTCAGACCATCAAACAACAAATTCAGTGATCACAGCCCCTCCAGGCAGGCACATGGATTGCCTAGGGAGAGTCCAGCCTGATTTTTGTGGATGCAAGGTTCCAAAGTGCAAAGCACACTGCAGATACAGGTCTGTGGAAGCAAACCAGCTACAGCACCCCCTCAGCCCCACCACATGTGCACCCAGCTCTGGACATACATGCACAGCATGGCTTTATCCCAACAAAGAGCACTTGTCTGTTCACTGCTCACCCCCGCAGTCATATCTGCCTGGGTCAAAAGGGATTTTGGTGAAAATGAGGGGCATTTACACAGAGTTTCATTTTTTTCTCTTTGCCTTGTCTTTTCTGAGCTTTGCCCCTCATTCCTAATGATGATAAGAGCCCTTCTGGCCCAGCAGTTATAATCTGTCTTCCATAAGCAATTGTTACAGCCATGTGTACTGTCCTTCTACATCCAAGCAGGACTGACAAGTATCAAGCATTAGAGTAAGAATGAATAAAGCAGTGACGCACGGAGGAGGAAGAGCTCCCTTGCTCTTCTCCCTGTCTCTCATCTGCCCCGAGTACAAGGTCACTGTGAGCTGCAGGTCTCCAGCTCCCCCATGGTCACACTCCCTGCTGCCCCATTCTCCTATGGACATAGCTGGTAAGTGGATTAAGGGATCTACTGCCCAACTGCCCCAGCACTCACAGTCACCATGTGGGACAGAGGCCACAAACCTGATGCTGAAAATGCCTGAAATGAGGCCGCAGGAGGGGAAGCCCCAGGGGCCACATCAAGGTGTCCTACCTGTCTGACTTCCATATGGCAAACCCTGGCAGGGCTGCTCCAGAATACAAAGGCAGCAGACAAAGAGAAAGAAGAATAAAAATGCTCTCAAGCAGGAAGGATTTGGGTTCCCTGTTCTTTTTCATATGCCAAAGCAGCAAAAACTTGCAGAGAATGGAAAAAAGGCTAAAGCAAGAAGAGCAGCAGCAGCCAAAAACAATTATTATTTCCTAAAAAACAAATAGTTCTTTCAAAAATAGTTTTATACCCTTCAGAGAAAGATTGCAGAGGATACATCCATTTTTCCCACCGTGTAGATTTGTAAAGCTAAGTATGTACCACCTGAGTATTGCATAAGATACCAATTAGAAACATTTATTTTGGGCAAAAGAAGAAACGATGAGCCACTCTGGTAAGCTGTCTCTGAGAGAAGCAGTCTTTTTCCATTTGTCTTCTACTAAAAACAGAGGACTGTTTTACGAGCAAGCAGTGAAAGCTCAGGTCTCATTTTCCAATTTGAAGTCTCAGAAGTACTCAGCCCTGTGTTCTTACCCTGTAACTATCCTCCAGTCACCTGTAATCACACTCAGTGGTCTCAGCTCAGCTCTCAGTGGCTTGCAGCAGCCCTTTGCAAAACACTTTATCCGTTTTCTCCCCCCTCCATGATTTTCCCTGCCAGGAAAAGCAGAGTAGCTCTGCCTGAAGTCAGAACTGACTCATGCCCCTAATGCCTATTACATTAGGAGACAGCACTTCTGACCCACGAAGGGAAACACTCTTCCACCAAATTCTCCCCACTTGGCTGTTAATATTTACTTTAACTCCTCTGTTTTGTTGCCCATCTCTACAGCTGATGTGTTTTACTAATGGAAGAGACATCCTTCCCCTCTTCTGGGTTGGGTGGCCCACTGTGCCCATCGATCTGAAGTACCATGAGATGCTAAACTTGTGCTGACTTTAGTTTTAGGCTGTATCTGACTAGATGTTTACATGGTGATACACTCAAAATCTGTGCAAAATGCTCAGATATTAGCTTTACTAGCCCAGTGCAAAGTCCAATTTTTACAGCCAAGATTCAAGCACTAGAACAGGCTACCCCGGGAAGCGCCTGGTCACCATCCCTGGAGGAATTTACAAGACATGTCAATGTGGCACTTGGGGACGTGGTTTTGTCGTGGGCTTGGCAATGATGGGTTAACGCCTGGGCTCGATGATCTTAGAGGTATTTTCCAACCTGATCGATGCCATGATTCTACGTTAAGAGTGAAGCGCTTACATTGCAGAGGGTGCCGGGTCCCTAGAGGAGGGTGCAGGATCCCTTGGGTCTCTGACCGCCTGGCCAGCCCGTCCCCAGCTTTCGTGACTCCCCTCTCATCTCCCAGCCCCGGGCCGCGGGTCCAAACCCCAGGGCTGGGCTGGGAGGGTTCCCGGGCCGGGCAGGGGCTGCGGCCGCTCACAGCGGGGCAGCTCAGGCTGTCAGACGGGCGGGGACAGCGCTCGCCTCCAGCATGCCCACGGGACACGGCAGGAAGGGGCACAGTGCGGTGGGCAGGAGCCCTCTGCAGCGAGCAGCGCTGGCTCCAAGGAGAGCTCTTCCCCCGGGGATGATCTGCCAGGGCGAGAACACAACAGCGGGGCTGCCAAGCGAACGCACCGTGCAGAACGCGGGCCCGGGGCGGCGCGGCGGAGCCCCCGCCCGGGAGGCGACAAACTTCCCCGGCGGGGCCGGTCCGGACCCCCCGCCCCGCCCGCGCCCCGCCCCGGAACCGGGCGCGGCTCCCGCGGGCGGGCAGAGCCCGGCGGCTGCGGGCGCGGGCGGAGGGTCCCCGGCACGGAGGGTCGCTGTCAGCGAGGGTCGCTGCCGTCCCCACTGCAGGGAAGCCGCCGCGGTAAGGCCGAGCTCCGCCGGCGGCGATGGCGGGAGCGGGGTCCCCTCGCTCGGGAGAAGTTGGGTTAAAGCCTCTCCTGGCTCTGCAGCCCGGCTGGGCATCCCCGCTCCCGGCCGGTGAGACGGGGCGGGTGTCCGCGGAGGAAGGAGCTCCGTAGCTCGGCGGGCGGCTCGAAGCTGCGGGAGGGAGGGCTGAGCGCAGGGGATGGAGGCGCGACAGCAGCAGGGAGCTGTAGGTGGGACCCGCTTTGGGCTGCAGGTTTGGCAGCATCGCTGGGACGGGGCTCCCTCGGCGCTTTGACGGTGCACCGGAGAGGTGGGAGCCCGTCCGGGATGCGGATGCTGCAGCGCGGTGTATAGGTGGGATAAAGTCCGGATTGCAGGTGCGACAGTGGAGCGCACAGGTGGGAGCTGGTCCCGACTGCAGCCGCAAACACACCGTGTGAGGGCTGCGGGTGGTTTGGATTAGCGGTGCTGGATGTAGTTTGGATGGCACACGGTGTTTAGGTGTGACGTGGTCCCCATTGCACGTGTAGGTGCAACGTGGTGCAGGTTGCAGGTGTGATGTGCGGGCGGGATGTGGTCCTGCTGTGCCTGGGGCTGGCAGAGCATCTCCCGGCATGGAGTGGATGGATGGTGTGCCTGCGTCTGGGCTGGGCCACTTTCAGGCTTTTATTTTGACAGATTCTGTTATCCAGTGGTTTTCAGGCAAGGTCTCCCAAGTCCTGCCCAGTTTTCCCACATAGTTCTCTCCAGCCTCATCCTCCCTTTTGCTCAATAACTCTGCAGTGATTCAATGGCTTCTTGCAACATCAGTATACAGAGCTGAATTCCAGAGCTCGTGGGTGGGGAAGGAGTGCTCAGACACACTCATTTTAGAAGAAATGCCCCAAAACGGTGCTCGTGGTCGTCCCTCCCTGTACCAGATCAACACTGTAAACTGTATGTTCTTTTTTTGAATTCTTAAGACTGAAGAATTTCTCCGGGTAAGCACGGTGCAAAACACCTCAGGCTCCCTGGTAGACTGAAAATAAACTTCTGGCTTAAGTTAGTTGAAAAGGAAAGTTGGAGTCAGCAGAGTTACAGTGAGGTTGCCATCGTCCTACTGAACTTGCTCAGAATTTGGGCTGTCTGGCCACTGATCTCATTTCTCTTCCATCGACTTAAACTTATTTTTCCACTAAACAGAGGCTGCCAAAACCAGAGGGCAGGGGGAGGGAATCGCAGGAATCCGTGAGGATATGAGATTTTTTTTTTTTTGTCCTGTTATAAGTTAGTAATCCTATTCTAGGCTGTCATCCAAAAATATTGCTGAAAAAATGCAAGCAGTGTGCAAGACCCATTGTATAAAAGATAATCTAAATGTAGGACAGGAAGAGACCTGGCAGGTCAGCAAATCTAAACACAGAATGATATTATGCCTTATTGCACACGACTGTAATTCATTTGTTGCCAGCCTTCTGGGAAGGGGAAACTTCACAGCTTTATTGAACTGGTATTATAATCCTTTCTCCACTGTATGACTTTATATTTGCACTATGGTTGCTTGGTCCTTACTGTCCAGTGCTTTTCTCGTATCAGTGTAGAAATAGGAGTTGCATGCTTTTCTCTTTACTGTGCAATGCCAAACAAGCTACAACTTGCTGTCTGCTTCCATGAAGCAGGCTCCAGCTTCTGCTGATCCCTGGCGGTTGTGAGCTGGGCTTATTAATCTCCGACTTCCCTGTGGTTGAGCAGAGCTGCAAGGCTCAGAGGTCTGTCCTGTGCCTCTTGTACTTTGGCACCTCACCTAGAAAAAAAATCCCTCACCAGGTAGGTGCTGCAATTAACCTCCTCCTCAGGTTCCTCCTCTTGTGTGATGGTCTGTGGGAAGCTGGGATTTTTCTCTCCAGGTGCCCATCTGACTTTTGTTTTCTTCTGTCAGCTCTCATTGTATTCCACTCATTTTATTAATCCCATTTTTATTGCATATCCCCATGTTCTGTGCTGGTTCAGTATTCCTTCAGCTTTCTCCCACTTGATCTGTTATAAAGGGAGAAGTAGGATGGAGCCTCCCTCACTTACAGTAGTGACCCCTGCTAGACTCAGACTGACCCTTTCCATTTCACTGTCTGTTTGATCCTTCTAGATCTGTACCCTATTTATTACAGATTTTTATTTTTTGTTTGCAAACTTCTGATTTCACTGGGCTGCATAGCAAGTGGCTTCAAATGTGTTGTAAGCTGAACTTTATCCCTGTCTTGTGTGCCAGGTATGCTGGATAGTTTTCCCAGAGTAGCTGAGCAGAAATTTTTTCTTACCAAAGCACGCTAAGTTGCATTTTGTCCTTCTTTCCGCCCAATTTATTTCCATGGCATCGATTATTAGGCGTGGGGTTTTTCTGCAGTGATCATTCTGTTGGCAAGGGATGTTTAGTCCCACCATTGTCCTGTAGCCAGCCCTGAGTAGAAGATGGGTGTAATCCAGTAGTGAGCAACAACACAATGCTGCAGGTTGGGCAGTGAACAACATTCATTGAGCTGGATCAGCTGAAGGGACTTCAGACAAACTCAGTGCTCATCTCTGAGCTCAGGTTAAGCTCCCACTTGAATATCCTTGCTCTTAATATTTGCAGTAAGGTCTATCAATAATGATTCAGAGAGAATACCACTGAATCAACAAAGTCAGGTCATAGGGTCACACAGTGACACTGAACAAATCCTGCTCTGCTCAGTCCAAAATCCTGTAGTTGATAAGTGCAGATAAACATAAGGAATTATCCCTGCTCCATTCATTAACATTGTATGTTGCTTTTTACATAACTAGGTGAAAAATACCTAAATATTTTGCAAAAGGTAGACACAGCCCTGAAGCGTGATACCCCTCGTGTTCAGTGCATGACTACCTGCTTCTGACCTAATATATTATAATCCCTTTGGCATTATCCACCAAGCTCAAGTTTATTCCAGTGTTTCTCAGCATAGCCTGTGCAGCAGTTTATCACACAGTGTTCATGAGCTTGGTCTTGCAGAGGCTGCCTTCATCTCCTAATGGCCAGAAAAAGCACTGAGAGCACCAAGCGCTGCAACAGAGTGGACAAACAATCTATATTTCAATCTTGCTGAGATTTCTCCAGTCCTGTGCTGTCAACCAAAATGCTAAGAATAAATTCGGGAAAGGAAACAAGTCACATCAAATTTTGAGCCTTGACTGTCTCCTAATGAGGGGCAGCTTCATGCTCACAGATCTGGTGTGGGGCTTTCACACCGTTCCAGTGGTTCCAGTTCTGCAGGCATGCTTTAAGGACTGGGGTGAAGCACAAATTGGGAATGCTTAAAAAAAGCATTTGGGTGACTTTTCAGTGCCTCTCAGATTCCTTGTCAAGGACAAGTATCCTCTGGCTCCTTTTTCTCAGGAAAAGAAATAAGTAATGAGCAACAGCCAAAGCTTTATGATTGCTACCGGATAATGGCAGTGGAAGATGAGCTGATTTTATGAAACTGAATATGGAATAAAATAGGGTGTGGGGTTCAAGCATGAGCCCCTGAGTCATAGCCTCTACATAACATCTACAGGAGTGCCCGAAATTAAAAGTGATTGTGTGATGTGGCAGGCAGATGAACATTTGTTGCTGCTTTGTCAGCCAGCCTTTCACATCTGCAGAAAGCATCAGGAGAGCATCTAAAAGCATGGTGGGTTTTCTGTTAGATGTAATGAGCACATATTGTTCACGGATTCAGCTGTTTCTACTATTTTAATACCTGAGCTGACATTTCAAAGTGCTGGGAATGCTGGAGCCACAGATCAATGAGAATCTTAAGCAAGCAATAGTGTTTGCAAAAAGCTCTGTAGCATTTGATGGTGTATTTCAAGGTCTCTGATAAACTGGCTGAGCTGATAAAGGACTGAGACAATGGATTCAGTATTCATTCCAGTATTAGAGTCACTGAGCTGATTCAAAAATGTTTAAGGATCCCAGAAGAAATGGCTCACTTCAGAAGGGACATTGCTCCAGCACTATGTCCAGTGTCACAAGTACAGACAAATGAGGAGCTGCCAAATGCTGTAGTTGGTAAGGCTGATGTTGAACTTGGCATGGTTGTAGTAATTATCACCAGGTGGTGCTACTTGGCATTGACTTCCCACTTTTTATTTTTACCAGGGCATTATTCAGCTGGGGTGTGAACAGTATTAATTTTGTGGAATGTTTGAGGGCAGAGGAGGGATTTGCTCTTTGCACTGCTGCTCCATTAGAGGCTGTGGGAAGGTGTCCTCACTCACTCCTTGGTGTTGAGAGGACTTCCCCACAGGGTACACAAGGGAAGTTTCAGCTGATGGTTTGCATTGCTGCTCACAGAGTACCTAGAGGCTCTCTGACACTGATTTCACCCCAAACCCAACTTGCAAAGCCTTCTGTTGCCTCTGCTGCTCCCAAGCTGATGGCTAATGCTAACGTAGGACATCACTAGTGGCAGCTGGCCACCTTGGAACTATGTGGGTCTCCACTTTTGCAGATGGGAAAGCTGAGTCACATTTTAACAAGCAAGGACATCAGAGGAATTTGGAGATCACTCCAGGAAAGTGTGGGAAAGGAGGCATACCATAAAACATCTATATTTAGTTGTACGTTAAAACGGAAAATGTCGGTGATTTTGCCATTGCAGAGGTCAAGTTGTTCTGCACGGGGAGCCATGGCCACCTGTCCCACCCCTTCCCTGTGTTCCCCAGAGGGAGGGACATTCCAGCCCCACTCGTGTCCCAGGGACTGCAAGGCCAGCCCTTAGCTTGGAGGCACAGCCTCTCCCCAGCATACCCTGGCCAGCAGAGGGGATGAAGGGAGGGAAGCAGCAGTAGCCCCCAGGGCAGCAGCAGAGCCTCTTTCCTCTCTCCAGGTCAATGAATGAGGTCGGCATCATCTTTCTTTCTTTATTTATTTATGTATTTATTTGTAATTTTGGTGAGCAGCTCTACTTTTCTCAGTGCAGCTGAGGCATAACTGTGTTATGCCCTGCTCCGTGGGTTAAATTGCATTATTTTTAATGAGGCAGCTATCTCCACACTGCTTCTGTTCTGCTGGTTTCCCCTTTCTGGGATCTGTCTGCTCTTTGCCTGTCCTGCTTTTCTCTTAAGTCATTGCTGAGCATTGGCTGGAAGCACTGAGCTAAGCATTAGATTTATTTTCTGACAGAGGCCCCAGTAGGAAACAGAAGTTCCCATAGCACACAGCAGCAGCTTTCTGTGAGCAGTGCTTTTCTTCTCACAGCCTACCAAGAAGTCAAAATGTGGCAAATCAGTTCATCCCACCGTCTGGCCCAGATCAAGGTACTTCACCTAAATAAAAGGATGGTTCCTGCTGCCAAAGGATTTGCTCCCAGGGGTGAGTGCAGCCCCCCACGGGCTGGATGTGCCACCCAGGGGGCTGCAGGAGGAGAGGCAAAGCCACAGAGCCCTCCCTGGACCATTCCTTGTGCTCATCCTTCATCACTGCAGTGCTGAGCCCATTCCCTCTGTCCCAGTGGGGGCACAGGGTGGCACTGGGGGGTTTGGGGTGCAGCTCTGGGGTTCTGCCCCTCTCCCAGCCCACAGCTGTACACCCGGGGCTGCCTCTGCTGCATCAGCTGTGTCAGTAAGCCTCCCTCCTGCCCCAGAAACAGCCACAATCTCCTCTGTGTGTTCCTAGCTCAGAAAAGGCTGATTCATTCTCTGAAGCAGATTAATTACTTCTGCTATTTAGAAAAGAAAAAAAAAAGTGATAAATCCTTTAGAATTGGTCGGCTTAACTTTCAACTGTGTGCACGATGCAGTGAAGCAAATCTGCTCTGAGCTAGAGCAAAAGAGTTCACACAAAGTAAGAAACTGGGGGTTACAGTATTTGTAATATTGTAATTTGTAACTGTGGGTTACAATTTGAAATGTCATATCAGCAGTAGGCTCTGCAATTTAAAAAGTATTTGTGAATGTGTCTTCTTTACTTATATGACAAATGGTGCAAATGTGAGCTGGTGAACTGGGGAACAAATGTTTTTATTCCCTGATACGTTTTATAACTTGTTTCCTTTCTGGTTTGTGTCATGCCAATGTGGCAGCCAGCTCCCTGAGTAGCTCTCGTCTGAAGCCTGGCTGAGTTGCTCCATTTCTCCCGTGGAAGGCTGCTTTCCAGCCTGCCTGGCTGTGCTCACTTGTTTATGCACTGATGGGCTGTAGTTCCCCATTTCAGAACAAGCTGTCCAATATTCATGAGTTATTTTATATTTACCCAGTCCTGAGGCTTCTTTTGTAAGCCTGGGGATAAATTCTGAGTTTTGTTGTTTCCATTACTGGAAATGGACTGAACCTCCACAAACATTACCAAGCCTTAAATAAGGCCTTTATTTATCTAGAAGGGAAGGGAAAGGACGAACACAAAGCTAAATTGATTTACAGCCTGTAATTCCCAAACCCCTGGTCTGATAACACTTATAAGAAAGCAAGCCATATGTGTCGGGATGAATCACTTATAGAATTATATCTTAATATTCATTGTATATTAACTTATCAGACAAATATAGTGATTTTCCTCTTGAAGATTAATGACAGCCACATGTTCAGCTGGCATAAAGCACTGCAACTCTTTGGACTGTGCAAACCTGAGGATATGATTGAACAGCTGATTTCTCTGGAAAGAGCAAAACAGTATCTAAAGTGATAAGGAAAAACTGAAGAAGGTCAAAATTATAATCATAAGATAATCCTGCATGTCTAGTAAGGTCATTCTGACCAAGCCTGAGACCTTTCCCATTATCCCCAGTTGGTTGGGTCATACTAAAATCTCTTCACGTTAATAGGAAGACTGAGCTAGAACTGGAAAGTTAGTATCTAGGAGGACAATTTTAGATCCTCTCAAAACATAATGAATAGCATAAAGAAAGCTTAAGCCCCTTAATGTTTTAGGATTACTGTGTTATAAAATAGGCTCTTCAAACTTTTTTACCCAGCAGTAGAGAAAATACTCTGAAGGCATCTTTGGAGTGGATTAATGTTGAAATCATGCTAAACCAGCCTTCTTCAAGCATTTATTTTAAACAGCTCAAATGCTTAACTTCTTGAATTAGCAGCTGAGCAGGTTCTCTGATTACCCTTGGTAATGTTCACATTCACACAAGCATGCAGGAAAGTGCCTGGCAGTTTCTGGGGCTGTTCTCCTTAATGTGTGCAATAGTGCTTCGCCCATGCCATTAGGAATCCTGGCTATGGTCAGCCTTATCTGAACAAAACCACTCAGGATGTTTGCATTTGGGCTGTTCACCAGATGAGATACCAACCCCTGTGATTCAGCAGCAGCTGAATGGAAAAACTGATCCGGAATCACATTTGTAACCTGTTTGGAGAACAGCTGGAAAAACACTTCCCCCTTCTGTACCATTGTGGTGTCTTGGTAGCTTTGTTCAGAAGGGTTGTCTGTAAATCTGGGTCTGGGCAGCTCTTTGGCTTAGTGATGGCCTCAACCTTTTCCCCTGTGGACCTCCAGCATCAAACTGGTTTCCAGGGAAGAGCTGCTGCCTGCCTGAAGATCTTCACCCTTGTGCAGGTGAGGAGGGTTTGTGCTTGTGCTGGAAGGATACAGCTAAACCCTGGACAGGACCTGCCTGCCTCTCTCCCTCTGGAGCAGAGATCAGAAGGTTTTTTTTCTGTAATAACCTCTTCTTGCTGCTGCAGCACCAGCATGTGTGCCAGGGAGCAGAGTTCAGCTGCCTGGCACCCTCCATCCTGGCAATGCCTAAGCAGTTTCCCTTAGCACAGGTGCAATATATGTATGCAGGATAAAGAAACAGTAAATATTAGGCTTTTTACCTATGCTTAGGAGCACATACATCCTTTAGAAACCTGCATGTGGGTCTGTGCTCTGGGCAGAACTGCTGGTGCAGTTCGGAGTTTTGGCAGAGATTTTTGTCAACACCTTTCTAAATTAAGCTCCAAGTTCCTCACAGTTTGTGGTTTAATCTCCTCAGGTGGAAGCACCCTCCCCAAAACAGGGTGTTTCTTTCTTGCAGAAGCTTCCTACCAAAAGAACTGCAGAGCAAATGTTATGGATGTTTTAAGCAGATCAACCCCATTAGACACAGAGTTCCCAGAAATATGCTACTGGCAGTAGCAGAGTCCTTTATTTTTGTTATCTGAAGTATTCATCAGATAAAGACTACTTCAGAAGGCTTTTTTTTTTTCTCCTTTTAACATCCTCTAAAGTGAATGCAATTCAGCTGCAAAGCAATCAGAGAGCTGGTCTGTGACAAGAGAGCTGGAGGGATGTCAGTCTTCAAGGAGAGTAAGGAAATTCAGTAAGAGCCAGCAGCAGTCAGCTCTGCAGCTCCTGTCGTGCTCCTATGGTTTCCTGAGGATGCCCAAATGTCTGCTCCCCACAAGGGAACAAACTGGCTGCTGTCACTGTGGCAGGTCATCATTAGTTCACCCCATTTACATCCCAGTAGCTCTTCTGGCATCTCCTGCTGCCCCCAATGCATAAGGTCGTGTTGCAAAGGCCAGATGCTTTGTGGGCAGGGGAAGAATTTGACTCTGCCCCTAAATTTTATTTTGCTCTCCCCCTAAATTTGTATGTCTTTACCCATGCCTAAATCCTCTTCAGTGCTATTTCAGCACTTCGACACTGGTCCTTCTGCTTACTTAACTCAGAATTCAGTTCTCAGATGAACAGAGAAATTGAATTATCCAAGTTAATTTCCCTAATTTTTCCCCTGTAGGCATGTAGTTATTATCAGTGGCCCTATAGGTGCCAGAGTACCCAACAAAATCCATCACAGAGATGCAGAGGTGAATATTGTACCTCGGATTCTTGAATGCTGTCTGTGCTGATGTTTAGTGATTTCGAGGGAGTGATAGGAGGCATTTTAGGTAGGATCACATAGAAAGAGCCATTGCAACAGACCTCTGGCTGGCTCACATCTCTCTGCTAGCCCAGAATGAGCTGGGTGTCCCCTTTCCAAAACCCTTGACATGACTTCCTGGAAAAGACACTGGCATGGAAATAAATTTGTCACAGAAACGTAGAGCAGTGAGAAGACACTGATTATTGTAATT